TATTGTGCAGGACTGTGCCATGAAGTGGACAGAACTATTTTCTTTAAAGGAAGCCACGGCCAGAGAATGTGCCACTATTCTTTTGGAGGAAGTCGCCCTTCGATTTGGGTTACCAAGGAAAATAATAAGTGATAATGGTACCCAGTTTACTAGTTTTAATAATGGTACCCAGTTTACCAGTTTACTTACCTGCAACAACTATGCTATATCTTGAACAATGATCAAAGTCTTACTCCTGTGTATCACCCACAATCTAACCCAGTTGAAAGGAAGAATACAGATCTGAAACTACGTTTAGCAATACTTGTTGGTAACGACCATCAGTCATGGAAGGATAAACTGCCATTAATAAGGTTTGCTTTGAATACAGCCAAATGTGATTCAACTGGACATTCTGCTGCTTTTCTTCAATTTGCACAAGAGTTACGAACCTTAGATGATGTAAAGCATGATATAAAAGCCGTAATTGAGAACGATAATTTTGTTCCCGAAATTACTCCATATTTGAAACGTTTTGCAAGAAATGTACAACAGGTACGAGAGAGAGTCGAATTGCATCAAGATAAACAGGAACGTTATGCTGACAAAAAACAAAGAGAAACACCAAAATTCATTCCTAGAAATAAAGTTTGGGTCACCCTCCACCCAATCAGCAAAGGTCCATTGAAGGAAACTGCTAAATTCATGCCCAAGAGAGATGGTCCTTATGTGATAGTGACTACAATATCTCCAACCACTTACGATATTGCCGATCCTCACGAGCCAGACAAAATTCTCAGCAAGTATCATGTTTCAGCCTTGAAACCATATCAAGATCAAAATAAGTTTCAGAACTCAGCTCGTGTAACCCCAGTGGTTCCCTTAAAGAAAAGAGGACGCCCAAAACGTGTAATACCACCTGAATCTGCACCTGTTGCACAAGATGCTGGTGATGCTAAATCTACTGCTAGTCAAACTGGAGCCCATTCATCTGATTCTCCGCCCGCTGCACAAAGTAGACAAATGTCAGTTCCTGACTTCTTGCTGAGACATCTACGAAGTCAGAGGGGTAGGATGTAACAGAACTATTTAAGTGTAATTGAACTATTTTATTCAACGCCATGAACTCATGAACTGTAACCGAACTATTTTATTTAAACGCGATCTTGTGGCGATATGAAAAAACGTCAGTCGACCTCCAGCCGCCATGATGATGGTTTACTATGTCTCTTATTCAAATGTTTGATGTTCCATTTGGTATATGTTTCATTTTGATGTATATTTCTTTTGTTTGTAACTGTTCCTGTGTGCTCTGTTAATAAATGCTTTTAAAGCTAGCCGGCATTAGTGTCTATTGAGGAACAGCTACATCACATTGTTATATTTCTTTATGATTTTTGCATTAAAATCTACATGCGTTATGAAACATATTTGGATTTAGTGGTGGGAAAAAATGAAAAAAGTTCTTTTATAAAAGATCATAATACTGATAAATGTGCTGTTAAATCTACTACAATCAGGGAAGATTGTGCCCAAATGGGGAGGAAACCTACAGACCCCTTTTTTTTAAGCAACCACTCCCCAAAATGCTTCATTAAAAAATGTAATTCTATTATTTTCAGTGATTGTATTTAAAAAATGAAATGAAATGTGCACTATTCACATAAAATTTATATATTATGAAACACAGATTTTTCGACATTTTTTATTTCTAAGGTTGCAAATCGGTGCAAATCTTCACATTTATATCTGCGAATATAAAACAAAGTCACAAAAGGCAATTGAAAACAACACCAGTTGATGACTTGGGACTTTCCCTCTTTCCTACCACTAGGACAAACTTTCATGTGACCCCTCTCACGTTGCAGCATGTAATTAACACTTGTTTTGGAGATTCTAAGTATTTCGGCAGTATGCCAGCTAGGGTTGCATTTGGCATAGTAAATTTTTCATAGGAGCATAGAATGCAGGGCTCTGGACTGCACAAATATAAGCTACATTCTGCAGGCAGTGAACATTGTACTTTCTCTGGAGTGGCCTATATTTGTTCTTGTACAGTATCTGTTTCCCAGCTACATTGCATCCCAATTGTGTAAAATAACATTGAGGTCTGATTATATAAAATTGCCTTCACAAGATTTTGAATTCAATTAAGTTTTCCTCTAATCATAATTTGTCATCACGAGACTTATATGACTGTACATTGTCCTGTTTGAAGTTGCAAAACTTGCAATATATGCTTAATAACAGTTTTAAATACCCTTGGTTTTTCAGTTGATAAATTAAAAATAGCTTTAATTAAAACTTATGATATTACCATCAAGCTGAAGAGTTAATCAGTCCTTTATAAGCTTGAAAACTTGACCTATTTTTTGCATCTTTGTGAATGTATATCTTTTACCGGGCATATATTTCAAAACAAATCAATTTCATCAACACTGAAAATTTGTTAGGGTTCATAATCAGCATTAAATCAAGTATTACAAATTTATGTGCTCCTTCTATATCTGAGCTAGTGTGTCTGTCACACAAATACCATGAAATGTTTGAACCAATGTGCTGTAACTAAAAAATTTTGGTGGTTACCAGCATAATCTTTAACAGTTTTGAATCAGTCAATGACATGCTTTTATTTAAATAAAAACTGGTGATAATTATACCCTCCTCCCAGTTATCCATGTATTTTTACATTTCATGGAATTGGTTCAGTTTGTCATTTAGTAATAACCACCATCTGCATAGAAGGAGAACCTATTGCCAGCATTGTAAATTCTTTGACCTTTAAAATTATTCATACTGTATTATGAACTAACTTCAAATCACATGCAGTCGCACTGATTTTTTTTCCGTTCTTGTATTGTTCATTGCTTTCATTTTCATGTCTAAATTAATCGTCTTTCTTTAGCTTTTTGGTTGCTAGACTTTTATATATTAAGTAATCACAAAATTGTATAAACATGAAAGAAAAGATGTGCATGAAAATGGTGTAAGCTTTAAGCAATGTGTGGTGTTGAAAATTCATATCTCTGACACTTTATAAATTTTTTTGGTTAAAATTGTTGGTAGAAAATGCTGTTGCAGTAATGATCATAAAGTTGGTCAGAAATAAGTTGATGATACTTTTACTGATTTTCAACTATTGAAGTTGCTTGGAGAAATGTTTTCAATAGCTAAATAATAGCAATCTTGTGGCACATTTGAAAAATATGCAGTGTATTGGATTAAACAAAGGATTGTGTTAGGATTAATAAAATTTTCATGTCTGTTAATTATGTTTTATTTTTAGCATTACAATAAAACTTTAAAAAAAAAAAAAAAAAAAAAAAAATGGGGAAAATGATTGTTTAGCAAAGATTATAAATAGATCTACTTTTACAGATTTTACTATAAACTACAGAGGGTGTTTACACATTTTTATAGTGATTTTGGGGCCATTTAATGAATGTTTAAAATGTAAAGATTATTTGTTTTAATGTTTGATCTGATAGCCTTTTTCTTCTGCGCTGTTAAGTCTGCATTGTGATTTCTATGACAAAAGGTCTTTTCCTAAAATTTTCAGTTTTAGTAATTTCCATTCCTCATCCACTACTCTCCAAAGCTTTTGAGTTGTGTGACTTTGCACTCAAAAAGAGCTCTTTTCAAGAGACCAAAGGCGCAATAGTCCATAGGTGAAATCTGAGAAGACTTTGCAGGAATGTATTGAAAAGATATACATGCAATACTTGTATCATTCTTCATTTTTTCAAGGAATGCAGTAGTACTTTTTGAAGGAAGCCTTATTGCTTTGTCTTGATGAAATTCACTCTTGAAAGTCATTAGGGGTAAAGAAATATGGAATAGGAATATTTCTCTGTGGGAAGCTCAAAACCATATCCTTTAATTCACAACTTGTTTACATCTGACATTTTGAAAAAAGGATGAATTGATGATATTTCTCATTTCAAATAAGTTGTTACCAAAAATTGTTATTCCAAAATATTTGCTTTTTTGTTTAATTCTTTATTGAAATCATTATAAAAATGTGTAAACACCCTCTGTGTGTTACTTAAATCATATTAATTTATTATATGGTAATTGATTACGTGGATTGCACCAAAAAAAAATTAAGAAAAGTTTTGCAGACGCTTACAAAAACCTATACATTATGTGTTCCCCCCCCTCATAAATAACTTACCATTGTATTTTAAAGGGAAGTTTCTTAAACTCCTAGAAGAAGGGCATTTTCTAAGCTTAATTCTTACAGCTAATTTGTTTGACATACAGCAAATGTTTATTTATGATGCAAGTTATAGAAGCAATAGGTGATTATTATTTATATCTGAAATTATATAAATTCAGATCTCCTGCATGACTGTAACTTCAATATGCATATTAGAATATTTTAGTTACTAGTACAATATAATATTTTAGAGACTTTAATTCCTTATCTAGAGGGTGAGTCCAGAATATGTCTGTGCATTTGATTTTTATCTGTGATAGCTATGCTATGACTACAAGAAGTGAGATAATGCCATTGAAAAGTCAGTTCTTTTGGCTGAAGAACAGTATTAATCAGACATCTTTTGTTATTTCATATTGTTAATTGTTTTTATTGCTTTTGTAGTGCTGCTTGTTTTATCAGAAGGTTTTTCTTTCCTAGAAGCTTCCCATTGCAAGCAATTGGTTTTTTTTTTTTTTCTGCTTTCCCATTATTGATAGCAACAATATTGTAATTAGTAACATTCTGCCAGTTGAGAAACTTCTTTCTCTTTCCAGTCAAGAGATCATAAGATGCAGTCAGCTTGTAACTTGCTCTGCACATGAAGTGCTAATATAAGCTTGGAAATGTGACTCATATTTAAAATGCAAAAAATAAAATTTTAAGTTTACTAATAGTTCACCACTTCTCTGTATAATGTATAGTAACACACTGCATTTACTTCAAGCATGTAGCTATATTTCTGATTCACTTGTATTTTCTAGTTTAAAGTTTCATACATTTACTTTTACATAGTTAAGGATTTTCTTTTTATATGATCTAGTGCAAATATGTTAAGCACTGAGGGTCGCTGGAGAGCTGTTTATGAACAGAAAGGTATTGTTAAAGCTGTTAGTGAGTTAAGTGGACAACCAGTAGATGCTGAAAAAGCTCTCGATGCAGCCATTGAGGCAGGAGCTGAAGAAGTTCACACAAAAGAGGATGAAAATGATAAAACTTACCTTGAAGTAAGTGCTTAATTCCATGCATTTTCTAGAGCTGCTAAAAAATTAGATTTGAATTGAAAATTTTTGTAAATTTTCACCGTCTTATTATTTTTCACTAATACTTTTATTATTTTTTGGCTGTATTAGCTGTCTTTTCTTCTGTGTCAATTACTTTTCAGTGTTTTGATCATATAGAAAATTGTTATAAATGCCAGGTAACCTAAGCATTATTTGTACATGTCAAGAAATACCGATGTGAACAAATACATAAATAATATAATATATGTTTGTGTAAGATATATATGTGTATAGAAGTTTTCTTAAAAGTTAAAGAAAAGAAAAGAAAAAAAAAAAAAAAAAGGCTGTATACAGTGTCTGACCACCAGAATCATCCGACTTCAGCTAAACGACAGAAAATTATTCAGTATTTTCAAAGCTTTTTTTCTTTCACTGCTTATATAAAATAATTGAATTCTCAATTCCTTGGGATTCTACTCCTATATTTTTTTATAAAAATATTTAAGAAAAGGAAACAGTCATGAAGTTGGATTATTTGTATATTAATGAAATTAATAATAAATACATCAAGAAGTGCACTTTATGAAATAACTCAACATTTTAAAACTATTAACACTAATTAACTATGTACACTATAATACACTGTAGTCTGCTACATTTACTAACCAACAAAACTGATATAGTATGCAATAATAAGCAATGCATTAATTATTAGCTTATTGAATTTAAGTTAAAAAAGTATTCTTAGTAAATACATAACTTCTATAACAAACATTTCCGTCATTTAAATAAGTAATACTAAGCTTTCTAAAATAATATCAGAGCAATGCATACACTAGTACCAGTATTACACACACCTCATTACACTAGCTTTTAACGTTCACTTCCCATGCCAATACTTTGTAAACTTAAGTTTTTTTTACACTCAGTGTAGGTCTGCTACAATGCCCTCAATGGATGATCTCAGCATATTGCCCAGAGATGGCCATTTAGGACATCAAATTATTTCTTACAAAATTAGTGATTACAAATAACTATCTACAAGAAATACAGCTTATTGCACTTAAAACAATTACATTTACTAACCAACAAAACTAATATAGTATGCAATAATAAGCAATGTATTAGTTATTAGCTTATTGAATTTAAGTTAAAAAGGTATTCTTAGTAAATACATAACTTCTACAACAAACATTTCTGACATTTAAATGAGTAATACTAAGCTTCTAAAATAATATCAGATCAATTCATACAGTGATTTACATAAACTTAATAGCAGAATCAACATTGAAACTTTAAGTATTCAAAATGAATATTAACAAATATTAGATTATAATTAAAGTTTATAATTGTTCTCAATCTTTAACTTTCCACAGGTTAGGGTTGCACTGTTTATTAATAGGTCTCTTGAGTTCACCATTTTACAGTCTTTAATTTCATAACACAGGCTCTATTATCAGTATCTGGGTAAACGTCTACATTATGGCCCAGTTTTTATTTTAAAAGTGCTAAGTTATCTTCCTTAATTGTCAGTTCATTTATTTTAACATTTGTTAAAGTACAGTGCTGAATTAAATAATCTGTAGACCATTTCTTCCAAAATGACTGAGATATTTGTTTCCTACGGTTGTGAAGTGGTAGTTTAAAACTGCAGATATTTGGTTCAAGAAAAGCCTTTGGCACTTCCTATCAGGAAATGACCCAGTGTAATCATGGGAAAATCATCTGGATCATTTGAAACCACTGTTAATGGTCATGAGTTTCGACATGCTTCAATTTCTGCTGAATAAGTAGAAAATTCTTCAAACTGGAGAACTAGCTGCTCTTCTTGTGTAGATTCATAGCCTATGCTGCAGCTTCTCACATTCCACCAAAGTGTGGTACAGAAAGTGGATTGAAATTCCACTTAACTTTTTTTTTATCAGGTATCTAGCTACTTTAGAGTCAGAATGCCACGTCTTCAACTCTCTTTTGGCATTTATAAAATTGTTGCCATAATCATTGTATATTTCCTGTAGTCTTCCTTGTCTGAATGAATTATTTTAGAGCTGCTAAGAAGGAATGACATAATGTCTAGAGGTTTTGAGTGAACTGCCTTGGTACTAAAACACATGAAAACACAAACGTTGATCTTCACTGCTTAAACACTTTGTCATTTCTTTGGTTTAACTTGGAAAGGAACAGCAAATCCACTCTACATTTAAAAAAGTTTTTGCAGAATTCACAAGATCTCCCATTACTTGATATGACAGCTCGCTTCTGTGTCAACAGTATGCTACACATTTCCAAGTGGTCTTCTAATTAGCTTCTAAGCAGGTAACTATTTATCTCTTTGATTTTATGCATCTATGTTTTCCCGTGTGAATATTTTTATTGATAATGTCACATTAATAGTTCTCTATTTTAGTGAAAATTAAGGAGGATGACTTAGGATATTTTACATTCTGAGGTAGGCTAGTATTTCTTAGTCTTCCTTTAACACTGGAATACCCTCCTCATCTAAGAGAGGACTCTGTGGTTTTTCTTTTTTGAAAGTATTCACTTCTTCCCTAAATTCTTACACTTGTTTAATTGAGAATGAGCTACACAGGGTTCGTAGCGATCCTTATAAGTCCTTATATTTGAAAATAAAATATAAAGGCCCTTATAGGTGCTTACTTTTTCTTTAAAGCCCTTATTTTTTTTTTTTTTTTTTTTTTTTGCTTTTAGTGCTTATTTTATGCTTTTAGTGCTTCTTTTTTTTTTTAGTGCACACGCTATTTTTCCCGGTACCAAAGCCGAAACTAAATAAACAACTTTTCTTCCTAATATGGAATGTCAGATGGTGAATCATACTCCCGGAAATAGCTTTACCCCCTTTCTCTGCATTAACATAACTTTGGTGTGCACGACAGGTGCAAGAGTACAGACAGGTGCCCGTTGTTCTATTGGTCAAAGAATTGCGAAAGCAGTAGAAAATTCCGGTACATTCGGCATTCTTTTCCTCCCACCCAAATACTACACACATTTGAAATTCTATCAAGATCTTAAAAATTTGCATTCTCGTTCTGCATGGTCAGTTCACATTCGTGTTTATTATGATCGTTATGCTTATATTATGAGCATATGTATGAATGTTTATAATAACATAGTTGCAGTAACTGCTGAAGTATAGTAAACTTCCAAAAATGGTTGTGTTTTAACATAGATTAGCTTTCTTAAGAATAATATTCAGAATGGCTTAAATAAAGGGAAAGTAATCGAATAGTCAAAATAATTTCATTTTTTTGGCCAATACATTATACAGTACGAAGGTTGGGAGGTCTCCCCTTTCTCCGCAAAATCTCAAATATTGAAACTGTTACAGTTCATTGCAAAACAAGCAAGGGACCCCCCCCCCCTTTTTTTTTTTTTTTTTTTTTTTTTTTTGTCGTCACTTTCCAATCTGGATAAAATAGGACTAAAAGTACTGCGGTCTACCAACCCAAGCGAAGAATGATTCTGTTCCGGAAATTTAACACCGTCTGTTGAAAATTAGAATGAAAAACACCCCAGGTTGGTAAGTCTCTTTCTTTTACCTTTATTTAGTTCTTTATTCTCCCAATATCGGCAGTTGTTGATTCCGATTGCATAATATCATGTAGGGAAGAATTACGGTGCACGTATTGCGCACTAACGTTTGCGATATTTTGCAGAGATAATTAATTTTGATGTTCAGTCTGAGATTTGTTTAGGAACACTTAAAAGAGTTTTACTGTGCTTGCTAAGCAGAATATTTTTTAGTTTCGTATAGTTTATTTTTATATGATGCACATATCAAAATGTCAAAAGCATTTATTTAGCTGAAAAATCTAAAGAGTGGCTACAGTCTATCTACCTCCCCTCCTCTCCTCTTTTTCAAGTTACGCTCGACTGTCTCCGAATATTCGCCAATTTCCAAGTATGCGGGTTAGTTAAGCTTTTACTGTTAAAGGATGACTGCATGAAGCAAATTTCTGTCTTCTGATTTCAGAAATGTTCCTCTTTTTTACTTAAATTACTTTGCTTGCAATATCTGTTAAGGGAAAACTGATATACAATGAAAATTTAGAAAATGTTCAGAATTTAGATTTAAATTATTTAAATATCAATATGAGTGGGAAAATAAATTGTATTTATTATTAGGTTCCAAGCGAATACAAGAAATATGCCTTATTATTATTTATTTTCTCTATCTTGAACTGAAATTTCATCATTAAATCTCGTAATATAGTTTAGTTCATAGTTTTTTTTTCCTCTCATTGTAAACTAGTTCTTTAAATTGAACTATTATTTAAAATTAAAAACAAAAAAGTATTTATTTTTCATGGTTGAGGTAATGCTTATTCTCTCTTAATAAGTACTGCATTTCTCATATTTTAAATTACAAGTCTAATTTTTAAAGTTATGCAGTTGTGTATGATGTAATTAGAAAGGTGCTTATTTTTTTTCTTAAAATGTGCTTGAAAAGTGCTTATAGGTGCTTATTTTTTTAACTAAAATTTGGCTATGAACCCTGGCTACAGCTAGCTTTTTAATCTTGAGAAAACTTGATCTTGTTCTTGTCATTGATGACTGTGTAAAATTGTCAATAAATCTATGACACCATGCTGGAATTCATAAAAGTTTTGCCCAAGAAGAATATTTATGAAGCATTCCATCAATTACATAATATTTAATCACAGCAGTATGCAGAACATTTCTTTTCTTTTTTTTTTTTTTTCTTTTTTTAAATTTCTGTTACCTCTGATGGTATATCCTTCATTGAATGCTAAGGAAAAAACTATCTTCTCTTTTCAGCCAATGTAGATCACACCTCTGATATTAATCTTCCAACTAACACAAACTTAATTAGTACAGGTGTGTCCTGAGTTGACACACCTGTACTAAATAAATAAGCAGGATCTGATTTTTCCTACACTTCAACTGGTCAGTTATCAACTAACTGTTTCCATTGTTTCAAGGAACCCTTTATTCAATACAAAACAATTAAGAGATCTATAGAATACACAAACTTATCAGTAAGACCCTTAACCTCTCCAAAATACTTTTTTTATTCGACCTTTTATGACTGCTGCCATGTCAATTTCATCAAAGAGGCTACTCTGCTTTTTGACTTGATAAATGACAACGAAATGTTGCCTTTATCATTTAAGTAATAACAATAGCACTTTAAGTAAGAAGAGACGCATCGCAAAATGTGTGTATTTTCATTTTTTAATTAAAGTTCTGGTAATATACAAATAAATTTCTTGGAACAAAAATATCCTTTATACATCTAGCTTGAATACCAGTTATTTCATTTGATTTTAAAGTCATCTGGCAAGTCATCATCCTAACCTATACAAAGCCTCTAAATTCCCACTTCAAGCCTAAGATCTTAAAGGAAAATCAGAAAAATTAGTAGCTTCTTAAAGTCCTTTCTGCACTTTCAGTGACCTTAGTTTCTCAGAATTAGTTTTTAGATTTTGCAAAATCAACGTTATTTAAAATCATCGCTTTGGAAACATCTTAAAAGACTTTTCGTCACTTCTCTCCCCCCCCCAGAATATAAATCATCTACATACAGTGAAGGGTTCAGCATCTCGATAGATTCAGGTTTATTTTTCCTGCATTGCTTTAAATGACTTTTTATTGTTGCACTTGAAATAAATGGTACATACATACAGATTATTCATTATTTAATAATAGATACTATTACTCATAATAATATCTTTTTTCTGTAGTATTGTTATAAATAGTATTGATTGCATTTATTTCAGCTGCATTATCAAATACAAAACAAACAGTCCTTTCCATTTTATGAATGGGCCAATATAATAATGATTTTTAGTTTACTACATTTTGGTATCATTCTTTGAAAACTTATATCACGCTAACAGTTTCTGATATATTGATATCTCTTGCTATTTAAGGAAATATATTGTCTCTGATGAATTATAATTTATTCTCTCTCACTTATCTTAAGATTTACTTGTGTTTTTGCTCTGAACAATGGACATAAAGTGACAAAAGAGTGCTATTCGTTCTGTTGTTTCTAAACTAGCAACAGAATTTTCTTTAAATTACTTATTAGATTAATTGTCTTAAAATCTGCTGTTATCAGAAAGAAGTGCTCTTCGCATTTATACTATAACATTTGCCAAACAAGACTTCGAGAAAGCTAAACATAGGTATACAAAAAAAAAAAAAAAAAAAAAAAAAAAAAGATACTCATGTAATGTGTGTACATTCATTACATTAATTCATCATAAACTTATGCCTCCTTTATGTATAAATTAAAAGAAATTAATGAAATTTTTACATTAAGATAAATTTCTGTTGTCAAAAAAAATTTTTTTTTCTGTGTTTTCCAGTTTTTATGTGCAGTAGAAGATCTTCATAAAGTTAAAAAAGAACTTGAAAAGAATTATGAAATAGAAGAAGCATATATTGGATATATACCATCTACAACTGTAAAATTATCTGAAGAAGATACGACTTTAGCAGATCATCTTTTGGAAGAACTTGGAGATTTGCAGGAAGTAGTTAGACTATATGAAAATGTACAGTAACATTTTATAAACTATAATAAAATACTTTATTCAAATGTCATGCAAATGTCAAATTATTTGAAACTTGCATATACACGCATATTAAAAAAATTGAAAGTAATGAACAAGGTGAAACTTTACGGAACATTGTTTAGGTACCAATATATAAATGTTTTAATTAGTTTTAGAAACTGGAAAATATCTAATAATTGCATTCCATTATTCACGATGAATTTCAGAGATCTCCATTCTGTAATATGTAATTAATGTCCTAGAGAGTGAGGAAAATACCTGTATTCATACTGTTTCAATGTCTATATCTGTCTACTAATTTAGCAGGCAATGAATGAGGGTTAATGTACTCTTCTTATCCAGCTCATGAGAATGATGTATATAATACTGTTTTCTGTGACTTTTTGTTTTTATCTCAGCTATTTATATATTCTTAATGCATACACATTTTAGCATCATGCATTATCTGATGGCATTTCCCAGTGTTATGCAATCAAAAACGTTGGGCAATGCATAATACTTTGCATTTTATGCAAAATTATTTTCTTCCAAGCTCTTATCCTGTAGCTTCGTAAATGCAATATCAACATCTTGCTAGGCAAGTGTCCATTGTTTTCACAATTCATTTGTAACTGTTTTAGGACTAAAGAAGAAAGTGCAATTCTAGTGTCTTTTTATTAGGGTAAGGAATATATTTCAAAATAAAACAAACTGTATTTTTTTATTTTAATGATTATTTTGGTTTAAAAGCATTTAAAACTGATAAAGCTAATTAATGAAAAAAAGCTTTTTAATCTGTATCATTTGAATGCTGATATTTACATATCCCATACTCTTACAATAATCTAAAATTATTTTATTATTTATTATCTGTTTTTTTCGTTTTATGGATGTTTTTCCAATTAATTTTACATAATGAAAGATTTTGCACATTTGTCAGTAAAAATATCTGTTGTATCCATTTAAAGCTAAAAAAAAAAGCTTTAAAAGCGTTCAAAACTGATACATCTAATTAATGGAAAAACAATTTTTTTAATTTTTCAAATTTTGTCTGCCAAACATATATAAGCTTATCATTCTGTTGCTGATATCTACAAATTCCATACTCTTAATATAATCTGAAATTATAGTTGGTTTCTCATTTTGAAGTTGTTTTTCTAATTAATTTTATGTAAGGGAAGATTTTGCACATTTGTCGGCATAAACATCTTTCTTGTCCATTTAGCTCACAGCTGTTAAAATATGTCAAGATTTTGGCTGAGAAATCATATACAGTCAAAAGTCTTTAATCCGGACTCGTCGGGACTTGATTAAAGTTTGCTTCAGGATGAGTAAAGTTTTTGCTGATTATTCTTTTTTTCCCTACTCAAAATTATAACTGGTAATAGTCTCTCCTCTCTATTCTAAAAAACAGTAATGTTGTTCTGTAGTGTGTCAGTTTCTAAATCAAGCCGTATCGTATGACTTGCATAACATTGATAATGTGGCTAATAAGAAAACATGAATGTAAACCAATTCAAAAAGAAAGACAGACGTGTTAATTTTTTAAATACTATTCTTTTTTCCATAAATATATAAGAAATAATGTGAACAGAGTCAAAAAACATGTTTGACCATTTTCTTTTCAAATCACTTATGTCAAGAAATAATAATGTGAACAGAGGCAAAAATGCATTTCACCATTTTCTTTTCAGCTCTCCTACTTATGGCAGAAAATAAATAATATGCATAAAGGCATATGTTTGATCATTTTCAACTATGCTACTTTGCTTATGTCAGAAAATAAAAACAATAGGAATATTAAACATGTATAAGTCAAAAGAAAACAGGACTTTTGCTTAAATAAACAAATTTATTAAGTTTTATTTTTTATTATACATCTTTTTACATAATACAGTCAAAAGTCGTTAATCCAAACTCGTCAGGACTTCTGCGATTCCGGATTATCGATCATCAGTTTAAATCTGGTAAGATGGCATGCAGAAATTATATAATTAAAAATATGAAACTATAATTTATGAAATAAAGAACAATTATGATCTAAAGGGTATCAAAATTTACAAAAAAAAAAAAAAAAAAAAAAGCTTAATATTTATTTGTTTACTTTATTAAACATTTCCTTCAATGTTATTTTTAAGTTGCTACGTTTTATGTGATAATACTTTCTCTTTAATTCTATAAACAGACATAATTTCTTCTTCAGTTACTGTTCAGTGTCTGAAAGAGTTTTGCTTGGCAGCATTGTTTTACGCCAAGCAGAGTTTGGCTCTAATGTAACCCTAAAGTTATTTCGTTTTTGCCTTATTAGTATGTATGATTTTTGACTTGATGTAAGAGCATATGGTTGCTTGCTTTTAGCTAAGTTACATAGGTAACTATAAGCACATGCGTGTGCTAGTATTCAATAATGTTGTTTTTGTTAAAATAAATTTGTTATTGTTAATATTACAGTCCACTTACTGCAGTTAAGTTTTATTAAATACGTTGGAGCTATCTTCGGCAAGAACAGTTTGGTCACTTTAGCCGGAGAAGAATACGGCTACTACAGTCAAAAGTCGTTAATTCGGACACCCATAATCCGGAATGATCTATAATCCGGACCTCAAAGCTAAAATCTTTCTGCGCATGCGCCGCGTTGGCACATGCGCACAGGCGTTTTACGCGTGCGCGTAAGACTTTGACTACTGCGCATATGCGTGTGCGCAAGTGCAGAATACGTTTTCGCCTGCTCGTTTAATGTATAACGGTCGGTGTAAGCTAAAATTATCTAATTATCTATTTCAGTTAATGTTAATGATTGCGTTGTTCCTTATCTTCGAATTCGATCCGGCTTATTATTTTTTGCAGACTGTAAGAGCAATTTTATAAAAGTAAACTTGAACTTTCGATTATGTCAAATAGAATTTCCGATGCTGGAGCTCCCAAAGGATCTAGAAAACGAAAGTATTTTTTCGATGTCCATCAAACAAAAAACGAATTGCTACAAAAAAATGGATAAAGGCATATTCCTTTGTTTATCTAACCGTTCCGAAATCTGTTTATCAATTTCACGCTGCTCTGCGGGGGGGGGGGGAAGACGTCGCGGCGCGCAATGAACTGGAAGTTGATTTGTCAACACTATCGTTATCTTCAGAGCAGATGTTTTTATTTTATTCGGCTTATAATTCCTTACTAAATGTAGTATTTAATTTCGATGTACTCCGTCTTTGATATGATTTTAAATCAAATTCCTCGTCATTATAAATACCACGAATACAAATCAAATAGTTTTTCTGGTTGCAATTTTCTAATTTCGGCTATGCGTAAGGTATGCTTTACGCATCCGCGCGTTGAAAGAAATGTTTAATAAAGTAAACAAATAAATATTAGGCTTCTTTTTTGGTAAATTTTGATACCCTTTAGATCATAATTGCTCATTATTTTACAAATTACGGTTTCATATTTTTAATTTTATAATTTCTGCATGCCATCTTACCAGATTTAAACTGATGATCTATAATCCGGAAAAATTGATAATCCGGAATCGCCGAAGTCCCGACGAGTCCGGATTAAAGACTTTTGACTGTAATATAGTTTCATTGAATCGCCAACGCGGCATAGTGAAAATGAAGCTCGGAGCTTTGATAAAATTCCTTGATGAATATAAAATGGAGGAGAATAAACTCAACTATGATGTTATTATGAAGACTAAATTGGATTCTTTGTTGGAATTAAAATCTCGGGTTAAACAATTCAAAGTGGAATACACCAATTTACCAGAGGAAATTGACTTGAAAGATAATCTAAGCATTACACAAGAATTGGAAAAAATAATCAAAGAGTTCGAAGTAAGATTTAAAATTTTTCTTTCTAATTGTGAAACAAATAATAAATATAAATTTGAAACCAAAACTGTTTCTAAATCAAATTTTAAACTGCTTGATTTACCTCTTCCTCAATTTTATGGTAAATATGAAGATTTTAAAAATTTTAAAGTGCAATTTATGTCTATGATTGGTAGTAATAATGATTTAAATGATACTGAGAAACTGTTTTATTTGAAAGTATCACTTAAAAGGGAAGCAAAAATGTTAGAATCATGCCAGAATACATTTCAGACGCTATTTTCTGCACTTGAAAGCAGATATGAAAACAAAAGAGCAGTAGTTGATGCCTTTATTAATAATTTATTGAACTTTGAAAAAATAAATGACTCACCTTCTCAGTTGAGATCACTAGTAAATAATGTTAAAAGATGTTTGAGATCTTTTAAGTGTATTAGAATTTGATAGAAATAGTTTATCTGATGTTTTGATATTAAATACTTTATTGCATAAATTAGATAGAGAATCTAGAAAAGCATTTGAACTAAACGTAAAATCAAATGAAATTCCCGAACTTGATGAATTTTTAGAAAGAATTCGCATTCTTGAAGAAATAAGCAAAGTTAGTTTTCCTAAGCAGAGCTATGGTACTAAAGTATCAAATTAATTAAGTCGCTCTAGAAATTTAAAACCCTTGGTAACTAAAACAAACCCTTTTCGAAAGTGTATTATGTGTAAAGAACCACACCCAATTTATCATTGTTCGAAATTTAAGAGCATTTCTGTTTCTGAGCGGTATGATTTTGTTAAGGAATATAAATTATGCATTAAATGCCTTTCTCCATCAACACGTATTATCGCTGTGTAAAGCTAAATTCCAGTTGTTATGTCTGTAAGAAAGACACACATCATTCACTGTTGCATAAAATTGACGAAAAACAAAATGAATCATCGAAAAAAAAGAATTGACCTTGAACCTTTCGTCAGTGAATGGGAAAGAGGACTGTCCCCTCTCCCCCCACAACTTTGATGGCAGCTACAAATAAATCTAAATCTGTGTTAATAAATACAGCGATTGTTTATCTTCGCGATGTTACGATGAACGAATTCCTTTTAGAGCCGTGCTTGATTCAGCTTCGACTTCTAATTTTTGCACTGTAGGTGTTATGAACTCGTTAGGAATAAAAAAAGAACGAGCATTTATTCCAGTTAGTGGAATAGGCAACACTACTTTGAATGTTAAATC